AGATTTCCCCATTAAGTACAAGCTTTTCAAGAGTAACAGGTTTCTTTCTTAGGCTTATATCTCCAGCACCTATCATGGCTACTGAAGGTGCCCAACAGTGATTGGTTCAATAGTCCAATCACTAAACTAAATGAACTAAAATGAAATCATAAATCAGACTTCACACACTGTAGCTCAAGGTTGCCAGCTGTGACTCTTGTCTGAGGATGAAATAGTCTGCCAATGGCAGATTTGATCAGCTGACCAGGATAACAGGCAAATGCTTAGACATGGGCATCTCCATGTTTTCATAATGAGCTCAACTCCACTTCTTATTACTGTCAAGTTTTGGCCTGTCCTGGGGCTGCTCACTACAGTTTTACTCAGGATCTTAGACCAGGACCAAAACAGAACCTTCTCACTTGTGTGATACTCCTTCATCATGAACCTTTCAGGCTTAGGACTTGGGGGCAATATTATATTATTATAATAAAATGAATAAATAAATAAATGTGTGTCGTTCCAGTAATTTAGGGTACAATATTATATTATTATAATAAATAAGTACATGTGTGTCATTTCAGCAATTTAGGAGGAGAGTCTCACAAAGCAAAACTCTGGATGTTGTTACTCGGAAACTAAACCCGTCTCTGGGTCCCACCGTGCCTGCTGACTCTCAATCGACTCGCTGCCTTCACGGTGCGCTTAGTGCATGGGAGTTTTCACTTCCTTTCTTACCTCACAGATGCAGTGATGTGCACCCCAATTAGACTGCTTGATTAAACTTAAGTGGATTGCATCCTTTTTAGTCTTCCACCTGCACAAAATACAGTCTCACAGAGGGCAATCGTTGAGCAATTAATTTTATATTTTAAAACAAGCTCTCATGCAGTTCATCTAGCTCACTAAGCAGCTAAGGATGATCTTGTACTTTCAGCTTTTCCTTCCACTACCCCTGGGGCGCCAACACACGTGGATGAGGTGTTGTTATCAAACCCAGCACCCTGTGCATGTTAGACAGGCAGTCTATTGACTGGGCTTCAACTCTGCCCACATGTTATTTTAAACAAACTTTCTTAGACACAGAAACTATTTTGTTAAACCTTAAGGCAAAGTCACTAGGATCCTAACAGGAAAACGTGTCAGTCATCTCTTGCCAATTTATTTCAAGATTGGTTCTTCGAATTGTTCTTTACTCTGCTTCAGGTTTCAAGACCTGTATGTGTGGGAGCATGCATACATCTAGCCCTGCATCCTCATGATCCTAAATGGAAACAGTATGAACTCAACAAGACACAGTAGAGACAAAAGCAGGGTTCTCTCTGTCTGTCCGTGGCCTCCATCTCACCATTCTTGAAGAAAGATGGAGAAGGATCCACCTAAGAAACTAAGTGTATACAGACAATGAGAAAACCCTGAGAAGATCCAATGGGGCTTGGCGGGGGATCCTGGCATGACCTGACTGTTGTGTAGGAAGAATGAGCTGGGCAAGCTGTGCACTACTCTTCTTTCTCCATCCCTTGCGTGGGTGGGTATCTTTCCAGAATATTCCCTCTCTTATTTATGTTTTCGAAGAATCATTCTTTTCAATGTAATTATTAGTTATTTATTTTGTTTTATTATTTTTGCTATTGATTTATGTCTTTTTAAATTTAATTTATTATTTTACATGTTGATTTATGTCTTTATCTTTATTGTCTCTCTTCCTATATCTTTATTGTTTATGGACGTTCTGCTGTCAAATGAAATACTTTGCATATTTGTATTATACAAATGCGTTTTATTGATAAATGATTCACAGCCACAGATCATTCTGTAAATGCTATTTTAACATGTCAAAAATCTGATAAATAATATTTCCAGTTCTAAGGCTTGAAGACTTTTGGTTTGTTCTTCAGGAGTCAGTTACTTAGTGTCAAGACGTTCAAATTAAACCCGTTTTTCCTCCATGTTGTTTGAGGGTTAGGGCTGGACTAACAGATGCCGGTCTCAGTGCAATACTTCCTCATGATCTTCCCATGTGTTTATCCCTAAATATTCCCACTGTGAAGCTACTTTGCAATATTAAGAAACCATGAAACTAGTGTGTGTGTGTGTGTGTGTGTGTGTGTGTGTGTGTGTGTGTGTGTGAGTAGTAGTAGTAGTAGCAGCAGCAGCACAGAAAGACATATTTATCAAGATGCTGCAACTTGGAGAGAGAAGGGTTTATTAGGGTTACTTCCAGGTCACTGTTCATCATGGAGGGATGTCAAAAAGACAAGAACTTAAGCAGGGGCTTGAAGCAATACATCATGGAGGAATGCTGCTTTCTAACTGACTTACTGACTTGCTCTCTGGTTTATCCTCAGCTAACTTTCAGCCCAAGCTCACCTGCCCAGGAATGGTACTACCCACAGTGGGCTGGGTCTTCCTGCATCAATTAATAAAAAAAGACACTACAGTGAGTGGTCTGTGTCTAGGGATGCAGAGACTCAACCAAGCAAAGACGAAAAAATATTTCAATAAGATACTGCTTGTAGTGAACATGCATGGCTCTTGTTACTCTTCCTTAAATAATAGTGTTACAACTACAAGGTAGTGTTCACCTTGTAGTAGGTAGTTCACAGGGAAGTGGTTTATACACAAACACCTCACCACTTTACATAAAGCACTTTGGGACCTGCTGTGATTGACAGAAATAGAGATGACTAAGTAGTCCAAACAGAAACTAAGAACTCATTCCAACCCAGGTTTAAGAAGCTGGTTGTTAAGGGAAGTGTTCTATGCATTTGCAGTTCTTGGGAAGATCATCCACTATTTCAAAAATGATCATTTTATATGATAAGAAGTGCTCATCAATATGTTCTTTAGAGGAATCTCTGACCACAGAGACTAGATTGTGATGGCACTTCATTCTCTGCAAATCACATATATACAGAAACACTCAGCTGGTCTGCAAAGGCTTGGTACTTATTTCTGCAGATAATTAAAACTCTAGTTTTCCAATTAGTCTGCCCACAGATAGATGGCCACTTATTTAGCTATTCACGGATGGCTGAGTCATCCCTGGTCACGAGCCCTAATATTATACAAAAAGGAAATGGAAAAACACTCAGAATTGTAAGCAATCAAAATGCTACCCGAAACCAGCAACACAGTTTAATTAAAAAGAGAAAATCCATAGCAATTCATTTTTTTTTCCTTTTTCCTCTTCACATAAGAAAATAAGAGGTAACACAGGGAAGTAATTAAAATGAAGTCTGCTTTTGCCCTGAGGGTGTCTGAGTAGAACCTTTGCCAATGAAATAATTAGCTTGAGATTTCTCATTTTTCTCCCTTTGTTCTTGGGAAATTGCTTCCGGTCTTTCTTTAGAAACAATGCAGTGTCTTGCCTCTTCATTTAACTGTGGGCTTCTAAAAAGCTTAGTAATCCTGTTATTCTATGGAAAGGTAAGATTGGATGTTACCAGACCAATGTCACTATTTGATTAGGACCCTGCACTTAACTGAGAGAAAAAAAAAGCCCAGTTTTATAAATGACAGTTTACTTCTGCATCCTCTGGGATGGGGTGATTGTCCTGAAGGTAAAAGTGGGTGCAATGATTGGCCTCAGACTGTGACCTAAGACTGCACTCTAGAATGTGTTCCTGCAACAAAATACGAGCAGACAAGAGGATGAACTTAGCACTAAGTACCAAGATCTCTGTAAAACTCCAACTGTATGCTACTTTCCAACCATGGTCAGACCTGAAGAGAAAGGATCCCTACAACACATGCATATCCATACACAAATAACACCTGGCTAGTCCAGTTTCCTTCCTGTCATCTTAGAGGAGGAAAGCATTAATTGTAGCTCACAATTCCAGACTGCATTCCATCACTGTGGGGAAGTCAAAGCAGAAGGGAATGGAAGTAGTTGTCATATCACATCCACACTCAAGAATAGAGACAACAATTAATGCATGCAAGCTAACTTGTTCCTCTTATATAATGTCCAAGACTCAAATTCAGGAAACGGTACTACCCACTGTTAGATAAGCTCTTCCCACTAAATTAACATAATTAAGAAAATTGCTCACAGGCAGGCCTACAGGTCAACTTGATCTAGACAATCCCACATTGAGACTATTCCGAAGTGATTCCAAATTACGTAGAGGTGGCATTTGAAGCTACCATACTGTTGTAGAAAAGAATAAAAACCTACTGGGAAGTATTACACAAAGCACATTCAGAAATTGAGATAAAGAAAGCAGCAAATCCCAGTGGTCACACAACGAAAGCCTGTATGTCCTTTCCTAACAACTCAAAACTCTCATGCATCTCTTCCCGATGGGAGTTTGCAAGGGATCTGACATGCTCTCGTCTCCAGTAACAAAAGCACGAGCGAGGCTAGCAGGGCTTCAAACGTGCACAGACCCAGATGCACAGGCTCAAGGCAGCTCCCTAGGAAGATAACAGACAATGGGGATCCATCACAACCTGGCATGCAGACCAACCCAAGCAAAGTAACTAACAACACCAGGAGGGGCACAGACACATGAGACAGCTTGTCTTGATCGCCACTAAAAACGGCTCACGTTTTAGACCCTCCCACCTCCAGAAGTCATGGGGACGTAAATGAAAACAGCAAAATCCGGCTTAGTGGCCTCTGGGCTATCCGTGTACTTTGTTTTCAGCAATAGGGATTTAGCTTCCACGTCTGGGGAAGAACCAAAGGCAATAACAACAGTCTATCATGTTTAAGGAGTCTCTTGGATAACCCGGACCAGCAACATGAGAGGGCTTCCCATGCCCAGTGTGGAGGTTTTTGTTAGATAGTCCATGGCTCTTGTACAAGTGATATTACTCAGGTGAGCTGGTTTTACACACACACACACACACACACACACACACACACACACACCAATAATTAATGAAAAAGGAGGACATGGACATGAGCTTGAAAGAGAGCAAGGAGATATATAGGAGGACTTGGAGGGAGGAAAAAGGAGGGAAACGATGTAACTATATCATAATCAATTATAAAACAGTCAGAAACTCACTGTAGCACTCTGGAGTGACTGAAATCTTTCATATCCGAGTCCTCATAGTGGGCTGTGACCATTCCCAGTCCACTGTCACTCAGCATGCGTTTCCTCAGGGCAGGGTTCCACCAGTCTGACAGCCTGGGCCAAAAATGTCATTTTGAAGATTAAGTCACTTTACTACGTGTGGCATGAGTATAAAATTAACGGAGTCAGTCATGGAAATTAATTTGGAAGATGAGAAAGCCCAACCTCATCCTAGATCTTTGTTTCTAGCTTATTTTCAGAAGACATACTGCTCACACAAATCAGGTCACTCTGTATAGAAACAAACAAAAAAAAAAAAAAACCAAAAAAAACAAAAAACCAAAAAACAAACAAAACAACAACACAAAAAACTATAACCAGAGAGAAAGTTGTCCATACTTGGTATGGAAAGAATAGGAGGAAAAAAATCCAAAACCACTTTAAAAGATGGTTCTGTTTCTCATCAAATATACCAAAGAGTCTTTATGATGTGGGGTGGGTTCTAGGCAGCACCTGCCTCTTCTTTAGTGGGACATCACACCAGACTGGAGTCCCTATGGTAAGTACATTTGTTTATGCTCTATGGTTATGAATACACAATCTCTGTTTGCTTTGAGTGCATGTATATGTCTTCTTGTATTTCAGCCATCAGTCCCACATACCAGTAAGCCACTGTCTATCAGACTTCAAAGGGACAGAGGCATTTGTCTGTTTTTATTTTTACACCATTGGCTCTTCATCTTTACAATAGTTGGTGCATAAAAACTCCAAATAAGTATTTTTGAATTGTTAACTATTTTTTCAAATAACTTAGGTATTTTACAAGGTGACATTTTAGTAAACTTACCACAGACCAAACATTGTGATTTTACTATGAATATGATGACAACTGTACGGCATATGTTCTAGAAACTTCTGTCATGCCAGAATGCTTTTTTTTTTTTTTTGTATACTTTACTACAATGTTTTCAATTTTAACTCAGTCTCAAATATTTTTAAAAAGATTTACTTTATTTTATTATTTACATGTATAGTGTGTATTTATGTGTGGGTAAGCACAAATGTGAGTGTAAATGCCATAATATCCAGGAGAGGGCATCAGATTCCTTGAAGCTAGAATATAAGTTTCAGAGATAGACAATGTCAGTGCTGGGAACTAAAGTCAGATCCTTTGCAAGAATAATGCACATACTTAACTAATGAGCCATCTCTCCAACCCTTCAAATAGTGTTTTAGTACAGTATCCTGTATAATTCTTCTTTAGTGTTGATTAAATTTAGGGGGTGGGTATAGCTGCTTATTTAAATTAAATGTAAACAATCATTAATCACTTTGATAATAACAAAAAAAACTGAGGAAAAAATATGTCTATAAAATAGAAAAAAACTTTTCTTAGCATATGAAAAATAAAACCTATTTTAGCTAAAATATAGGATCCGCATAAAAAACAATATGGTTAAATCTCAGATTTTATACTTTATGTGCACGATTGGGCAAGCAACTCTGAGCTTCAGTTTTCTTATCTATACATTTAGGATAATCACAGAACCCAGTTGGTAAGATCATTATGAAAAGATTTTAATATGTAATGAATGTCTACCATGTGACACATGTCTTCTAAGTATTTTGCCTGTGTCAATTTATTTTTTTCTACAACTAATTCTTTGAATAGGTTTTGATACAAGCTAGAGATATCAGAGAGAATGGAGGTTCTGTTGAGAAAATGCCTCCCTGATATCCAGGTGTAAGGCATTTTTTCAACTGGTGATCAACCGGGTTGTTGGGGGGGACTCAGCCCATGGTGGGTGGTACCATCCCTGGGCTGGTGTCCCAAGTTCTATTAGAAAGCAGGCTGAGCAAACCATGGAGAGAGAGCAAGCCAGTAAGTAGCACCCTTCCATGGCCTCTGCCTCAGCTCCTGCGTCTAGAATCCTATGGGTGAAGCTCCTGTCCTGACATCTTTCAGGGTGAACAGCAATGTGGAAGTATAAGCTGAATAAATCCTTTCCTCCCTAACTTGCTTTATAGTCATGGTGTTTTGTCTCAGCAATAGAAACCCTGACTAAGATGAGGTGATATTATTGTTTGTATTCACAGATGAGGAAAAAAAAACATACTAAAGAGAATTAAGTCACTCTGAAGGAAGAGGAATAATACAAGAGTGGCAAGAACAATCTAGATCCTTTGTGTCAAGCAATTTAGAGACAAGGCAAAAAGAACTGGATTAAAATACCCATGTCAACATTTCTTGTGGATAATACACCAAACAAGACCTATATAGATGCAAAGATGGGAGTATCAGTATTTATAACCCCAGTATGGAGAGGTTGTATAATAGTAAATAAGGTTCAGAGAAGATAAGAGACTGGCTAGGCATGAGGATTCCTATACAGCCATTCAGAAGATGGCCTTACAGGACCAGAGGCATCTTAACTTTAAGGAAACATCAATAAATCTGTATTCCAAATTTTTTATGTCATTAGAATATCAATTGCAAAGCCAAAGATATAGAGGTCACAACACAGCCAGCCAATGCTGTCACTGAGAGAGGAAAAACACACTTACCCTGAAGCCTGTTCAACCACCAGGTCAGGCATCCCTGGAGGTGTCCCCGCCTGCTGTGACATCACCATATCTGGGTCCAGAATAAAAATCTCATCATGAGAAATCTCCATCACAAAGTGCAAGTGTTCCTAAGGAAGAAACACAGGCCTGTTTTCCTCCTCAGAATGAGGAATGAGCTGTGCAACACACAGTCCTGGGTAGTAATGCATAGAGAACAAGGGGAGAAAAGATTGCTCTGCTTCAGTACTCACACCTGACCAGGATCTTGTTAGATGGGACCAGAAATGCCCTTTCCCCTGTTTCCACCCAGATGCTATAAGATGTGGCATTTGACATGCCACCTGGTCCAGTATGAGGACACGACAGCTCACACTTCTGCCCCAGGATGTGGCCAAAGCTAAGCGGCAAGGGTTAAGAAAGAGCTGGTTTTCAATGGGTTCAATACCATGAAGTGTATTTCCAGGAAAATCTCAATGGTGGGCAGAGGTTTTAGCCTTGGGTAAACATAATTTCCCTCATTATTAAATATGGAGGAGTATTAATAAACCAAATCTAAGTTGTCTACGTATATACCAGCTAAATAAAAAAAAAAAACAAACAAACAAGCATTTAAAAAGTGTAAGTAAGCATCACTTTGGCCAGAGTACATGTAAATGAAAACTTAGAGTGTAGGACTGTGATAACAGTTGTAATTCAAGTTTTTATATATTTTCATTAGTCACTTCATTGAGCCCATGAGTCATAAAACACATGCAGGCTAAAAGCATTGTGGCTTAGACTATAAACACTGACCTATCATCTTTAATCTTTCCACTAGCAAAAATCTATGAGACTGGCTACCAACACGGTACAGAGACTGGGAGATGTTTCTCTTGCATAAATAAGCTGGAAAGAACTTACCTGAGATCTGTCTATTCGATAAAAGCGGTCAGCAGAAGTTGCTAAGGGAAAAAAAAATGTACAGGCCATTCAGAGTCATTTAAGCTTGTCATGAGATTTACACCTTTCCTTTCTACTGCACAGTCAATCAAAACCTTCATGGCAAGCATGTCACACAGGTGGCCAGTCCCTAAATCGATTACTAAAACACCAGCACTTCTGTGCTTTGGCGACTGCTATTCCAATGCTCCTAAGCCCTTCTAGCCACACTGTTATCTGCATCCCACTCATCTCTAAACAATAACTTAAATGCTTCAGTCTCCGTGAAACCCTGACAGGGGCCGACAGTGCAGAGGTTCCTCCATCTTATTTCTTGCTGAGGTCATTTCGGACTTAACTAGAATTTGAACTCCTTGATGGAGAATCCCACGGAAAGTTACCCGGCTCTATTCTAGGGACCCAAGGTCAAGATGACCCAGGTAACTTATCCTAGCTTCTGCTACATTACTGCTTGTGCAGAACCCCCAGCTCCAACTCACTGCTCATCTTGGCTTCTGTCAAATTGCTTGCTTACATAAAATCCTACCTGCAGCTACTGCTGATGGAGATGCCAGGATGTGATGTGGGGTTTTGACCTTCAAAAAGCCTGTGCTCTGGACACTCAGTGCTACAGTGAGGCCCTGAATACTTGAGTGTAGTCCCAGCTGGCTAGAATAAAGACTTTTCATTGGCTATAAACTGTGTCTGAGTGGTCATCTCTGGTGGGCTCCCGGTAACAAAACTTTCCTCCATCCCAACTGCCTACAGCAGAAAGTATTGCTCCTAAACCCTATGTCCACTGTCATTTTGCTTAAACCTGTTCCAGAGACTGTCATTAAAGATGTCTGTGAGGCTAAAAGGCCTGCGTCATTGAAAGGGCTCTTTCATTTAGACTCTTATATCTCCAGGAATTAACACAGGACTTTTAACAGAGGGGAAGGCTTAGTATTTTATAAATTAAATAAACCTAGAAAAGAAACAGTGGTTAGATGGACTTCCCAGAAATGTGACTCTCATTTTGGAAAACATCTTGAAGATTCAGGCCAAAAGACAACATGCCCCGCCCCCTCCACAAATCATTGCCTTTCAACAGTCTGCCCCTAGAGATATGTCTGAAGGAAGCCAAATGACAAAACAAAGATTAAGGTTTAAGCAATCTTCAAATGGGATTGGGCTGCATCTGTGATTTGAAAAAGAAAATCTCTGAAATAAAACATAGGGTGTTTTTTGAAGTTATTTGATTCTTCTTAACCAAAAAACAAAAATCAACAACGAAAATATGCCTAAGTGTTCCCTTACTTAAATCTAACAAAGCCCAAACATGAGAGGTTTTTCAAAATGGACCAAAATCAATAGAAAATATAGAGCATAACAGAGCAAAGGATGCAAATCTTTACTCATAATCACAAACTTTTAAAACATAACTCTCTGGCTTCCTCCAGCAGCAGCTGAAAAGTGGGTGCAGGGACCCACAGCCAGACATTATGAAGTCTAAATTGGAGGTCTCCATTGTCCCACCCCTTAGAGCAGGGAATTCAGCAGAAGAGGGGACAGAAGGATTGTTTAATTGAAGGGGATGGAGGACACCAGGAGACTACGGCTCATATGGACTCATGCAGATGCACGTGGCAAGCATAGGCCTGCGGGGGTCCACACCAGGTCCTCTGAATATGTGTTCCAGCTGTTAGCACGGTGTTTTGTGGTGTTTTTCTAATAGTGGGAGGGAGTATAACCCTGATTCTTTTGCCTGCTCTTGGGAATCTTTTCCTCCTCCTGGTTGCCTTGTCCAGCCTCGATATAAGGGCTTCTGCCTTATCTCATTATTATCTTCTTTTGCTGTTTTTGGTTGAGGTTTCTTGGATGCCTATTCTTTTCTGATAGGAGATGGAGGGGGAGGGGATGGGGGGGACTTGGAGGAATGGAGGGAGGGGAAACCAGGTTTGGCTATATTTTATGAAAGAAGAATCTATTTTCAATTAAAAAAGACAATTAACTAACTCTCTGAAAGAAACTGGACTTGGAAATAGGAGAGCTAAAGTCCTGCTTAAAAACCTAAGTGTAAAGCAACATAGTCCTGGCAGGATTTATTCTTCTCTGTTCTTTCAAGTATGACTTCATCATTGATGTCAACAAAGAATTGACCATAAAAGATTTTATATACATAAATGTTTTATTTTGTATGCTAGCTTAAAAAGTTCAAAATGAGTGCTCAAAACAATGAAGAAAGGTTTACAATAGATCTCTCATAGCAAAATCAGTTTCATAGTTAAGACCATTGTCCAAATTAATAATTTTATCTAAGCCTATAGATGGAACACAATGACCTGTGTAAATACTTTCTTGATTTCCTTAGATACACAGTGCTTCCCTCTGACTCTGGAAGTGAGAAATGATTGTGCTTCCCACTGCTATGGAATTGGAAGGAAGTCATCAGTCAGCTGAGCCAGGGATGGAAGCCTGTAGCCTGGTTGAGGTGTGCTAGATTTGGTGGATACAAAGAGCCCTTCTGGGCAACTAATCCGACTAATCCGATGCATTCCAGCCCCTCATCCTCTCAGATGGAAATCATCAAGGAGACTAAGTCTCCAAACTTCAGTTAGCTACATTGGATAAGAGCAAGAATGTATAGAGATGAAGATGTATTGCAGTACAGATAATTAGGTGGAAAATCGAAATTCAGCAACATCTAGGAAAGTGAAAAATGCATGAGATGGCAAGTAGAGCTCAATAAACAATCACGTTGTAACTAACTCCATTGTGTCTGCAATAGATCACACTCAGCAGGAAAGCTATAGATGCAAGCAAGACTCACTTTCACACCAATGTATGTCTATACTGATGTGACAGCCTTACAAAGCAACCATGAGTTTCCAAGGCATGGAAATAATTCAGAAATTAACAGCCACTTTGACTACAGACTGTCGTTTCTGGCCCACGCCAATATGACGTAGACACTCAAGATGGTTTGGAAAAAGATAAAGGGAATGATAAGGGGGAAGTGTCAGTTTAAACAATATGATGCTGAGGTGCTTTGAGGGAAACGTCTTCAGGAAAGGTCCAGTAACATCAGCAAGCCTACATCACTAAAACGCAATGGGAATCACAGCAAGGCTTTGAGAACAAACTTTGTGGAGAGCTGCCACATCAGCCACACTGTGTCCTGCTGCCCCCCCCCAGCCCAGTCCCAGATAGGTCCCCAGACACTCACCATCCAGGAAGCACCAGCGAGGGGACAGTCTCTGAGCTGTCAGCGCCCTGGGGAAGGGGGCTTCTTGGTCCTAGAAAGAGACACACAGGTTCTCATGGTCACGTTTGCTTGACAAAAGGGGCTGCCCTCCCTCCACTTCCTTCCACACCACATTCTGGGAGCAGGCAGTCTTCTCTCAAGCAAACACTACAGCAAAGAACAACACCCCCACAAAAGTCCCAGGAGAGAGCCCACTGTTGCATCCGAGACTGAAAAAAGCCCTTCGCAGAGGCCCACTTCGGCTGCAGACAGTCTGTTATTTGGGTTTCCTTCTCTGTATCAGTAAAAGGGATGAATGCAGATAAAACGGGAAAGGTTTGAACTTTCTTCACCAGTCAGACAGCATTTATAGCATGTAGGAGACACGAGAAGTCACTTTTAGTAGTGGCAGGCCTCCAGGGGACTTGGGGAGCAGCTACTACACAAAAAGAAACCCCAGTTCGTGCTGTGTTGAGTCTGTCTCTGCCCTCAGCCCTGCTGATCCAAGACTGAAGGATGATTGGCCTTTGGGAAACTCACCTGTCCCCCCACTGACCAGCTAGGTATATTCACCTCTACCTTAGCATTCTCTAGGCCTCACTTCAAAGATAGCCAATACTTAATCATACTTGATCATAAGGCCATCTGATAAAAATGCATTCTTCCCTCTAGTTTGAGATTAAAGCATTTCTTTCCAAAATTAAGCATCTCATAGTCACCCCCATCTTCCCAAGAAACCTCCTCTCTGTAACATATTAAAGTCCACTCTGCTATTCTTGAACTCAAGTCCTTCTCTTTGCAATGGCTTCCTCTGTCTAAAAGCAAATGTCCCTCAATAGACCATACTTCATCTTCTGATGAATTTCTTTAGCCACCCTTCTCTGCCCTGCAAAACTCCTGAAACATCCTCTCCCTCTGCAGGAACACGCCCAGGTACCCATCTGATTCTCGTAGGAATCATCCTTCAGAATCTTCCCAGAGAGAGCCAAGAGCATCCATCCCAACTTGCAGAGTCTCCACACTTCCTTGAAGCCATTGAAAATCTTGCTCTTTTGCTTTTTTCCCCCAAATTAAAAGGTAGTAACATCATTTTCCATCTTCTCTTTTTCTCTCCCTCCCCCCCAATTGCTCCCATGTAGCCCCGCTCTGCTCTCTCAAATCCACGGCCTCTGGCGGCTTTTTCTTTAACTAATGACACATATCACCATGCATACAATGTTACTGTGGGTACTTAATTTCAGAGATGACCATTTGGTATTAGATAACCAATTTGGGGAGCTGATGCCCAGAGATGGCTATTTCTTAGGCTCTCAGCATTCCTCCGCTGCCTGGAGCTCTTTGTCTGGGATTAGCTGCCCCTAATTCAGTAGCAAGTCTGCTGGTGATGCAGGCCTTGCTTACCTTTGTCAGGACCGGAAACTACAGGGCTAAAGAGCACCCTGGGGGCCTGAGACAGGGAAGAGAGCGGATTGTCTCCTCGGGCTTCCACATCCAGAAGTTTAAGATGCACCCCTCTGAAGGGGAGCTCACTCTAAGGGTGCTTAGAGTGACTTGGAGCTCTCTAATACTGGCTGGAAGCAAAAAATGGAACTCATCCATGGGCAGGGATGGTAAGAGTGACCAGGCCTCTGTGGGAAGATACAGGGGCCTGGACTGTTACTGACAATTTAAAGTTTCGATTACAGGGGACATCCACGGAAAGTAGACGTGCCGAGACCAAGGTAGACTTGGCAGTGGAGACGGATGGCCTGCTGAATATCGGTGAGAAAAGGGAGGACAATGGCACAGGAGACAGGATGCGAGCCAGTCAGAGGCCACCTGGGCTTCCTCTGAGTCAGGTCAGCCTGCTCCTGCCTCACTCAAACTTGAGGCAAAGTAACACAGGGACAGCAAACAGCACCAGGGGAAATACAGACTGCAGCTCTGCAGAAAGCTGCCGTGGACCACACAACCTGCTTAACATGCAGCTCAGATGAGTCTAGTGCGTGGTGACGACCCATGGGTTTTAACAGGGCAAGAGAGAACCATCCTAGCACCAGAAGCCTTACCCAGACAGAGTGTTCTGCTCAAAGAGATTGCACAAACCAAAGGGTTGATAGAGGAATAATTGGCCTCCCAACAGGCTGTCACAAAAATGTATCTTTATGTATCCGATTTGCTAAAACTATGAATGCAGATCTTGAGCTGGCTTTGTCAACTTGCTGGCTGAGCTAAATGAAATCTCGGCATTTGTTCAGTATCGATGTTTATGAGAACTACACTTAATGCTTTGAGAATTGTATTTTGACACATGATATTTGGATCTAAAGAAGCTTACGATCCTTAATATATTTTTGTAAAATGTGTTATGCCACCAACACCTCGTAGGTTTTGGTAAAAGAAAAATATAACTATATGCCAAGAAATCTGAAATGATTTGAAATGTTTATTGGTAGCTGTGAAAAACTAATAAAGACATTAAGCAAAGATAGCTATTTTCTCAGAGAATAAAGTGGCTCAGATACCCAGGGTGCTTTCTGAATCTTAATACTATTCTCTGTAAATAACACTCAACAGAAAGTGTATAGACACACCATTTTTAAAACATATGGATGGGGTCCCCCCACGCCCCAATCACACACACTACATACATGTAAGAATACTTGTGAAAAAAAATTGTGCTGACTTTGCCTACCCACGAGTACATGCATTTTCCTGGGAGTGTGGTCATGGTGGTGGCAGGGGGAGATACTTCTTTCTACAGGCTATCAGAGTGATCTGAGATTCCTGAAAGGGTAAATCAATCTAAAATTTAAATTTAAATAACCCAGAATTAAGGTAGGAGGAAACTCAACACAATATCTGGTAGAAATACCTTAAAGTAGCCAAAGGCTCAGCAGCAGGAACTGCTGAGTCAAAGTTGCAGGTGATCCAGTCCAGGCAAAGTTGTGGCTATTGCCTTCTCGGGAAGTTGAGGTAGTTTCTGTCCTAGGAGGAGTCAATGGCCTCTTCGCTCATTCCCATCATCGTCCCTCCGATACATTTGTGTTCAGACCCTACCATTGCTAAGTTTTGTAATTGCATCTGTTGATTTTATGTGTGTGGGTGTTTTGCCTGCATGTATGTCTGTGTACCATGTGCTTGTCTGGAGCCTGAGGATACCAGAAGAGGCCATTAGATCCCTTGAGACTGAAATCACATTCAGCTGTGAGATGCTATGTGGTTGCTGGGAACTGAACCTGGTGCTATTACCATTAAGCCACTCCTCCAGTCCCCTTTATTGTCCTGTTTTTAAAGGAGGGGAGATTTAGATTGAACACAATATAGCTTCAATAAATGAAGTCGAGTAGTACATCATTAATGACAACATAGGCGCCTGTGTTAAGAAATCAATTTTACTGAAAAGAAAATGAAGTACTTGCTGGGTGAGTGAAGGTTTGGCTGCAGTTTGTGAGGTAGTTAGAGAAACAAAGCTAGGGATGCTGCCTTGAAACAGATTTGTATTCTCTCTAAGCAAGCTCATAAAAGGACAGCTATTAGCATAATGAGGTCTTATGCCACAGCCACTAGCATTCCAAAGAATATATAATTAATATATTCTTGGAGATACACTGAAAGCAAACTATCTAATTTTAAAAATGTACTTTGGAGGGCCGAGGAAAGAGCTCAGTGGGTAAAATGCTTGCATGCATTTTACCGACTTCAGGTCCCCAGCACCAGGGAAAAAGCTAGTGTTCCTGTAACTCCAGTGCTGAGGGGTAGAGATGCATGCATTCTGGAGCTCACCAGCCAGCCAAATCTAGCTGAAATGGCAAGATCGGGGTTCAGTGATAGACTCTGCTTCAAAAATTAAGATGAAGAAGTAATAGAGGAAGACATCCTGTCATCATCCACTGGTCTACAAAAATGACTACATAGGAATCATATCTACACACACACACACACATAGCACAGCACACATTCATACATACACCATATACACACAGAAAGATTTACAAATATATAAATCTGTATAAATGTTATAAAGTTTTATAACTGGAAGTGCTAGTATATGATGGTATTCTCAACACTTGGAAGGTTGAGGCAGGAGGATCAGAGTTCAAGGCCAGCCAGCCAGTGCCACATAGTGACCTGAACACAGCCTAGGCTACATGAGACCTTTGGTCATGAAAGAAAGACAAACAAATGAACAAAGCCATGAAATCTCAACAAAACTCTGTCCTTGATTGTATAAAAATGATGTTTTAATGTAACAGACTAACAAAATAATAATGATGATGATGATGATGATGATGCTGATGATAACAATAACAACATATGCAAGAGATCAACCTGGGATAACTTCTCATTAACCAAGGGAAAAGAGGGTTAGGATAAACTAATCTGGGGTGGTGCCTAAACTAGTTACTGGCATTTGTTTGAGCTAGATGACTGAGGAAAAATTATTTAAGGTGGAGAACACTGCTTTGGAAAGCTGTATGAAACTACCACTATCATCATCATTGCAAAGGAGTTGGTATAGCAAAGAAAAAACAAAAACAAAACATATTCCTGTCTTTAGCGGTGTTTCAATGTCATAAGGGGACGAAGAGGCTGTTTATGGCCCAAGTCCAGGTAAGCAGCAAGACTGGAGAAGTAGAAAGCTGCTCTCTAGAATGCCAGCTTTGAGCATAAGGACAACCGCAGCCTCAGCAACCACCAAGCGAGGGTATTTGGGAAGGGACTCTTAACTAGTTCCTGTACTAACTTCCTCGTTTGTACAATGGGCCTTGCAGCATTTACCCTGATGTATTACTGTGAAATAAGTGAAATGTGTAAAATACTCGACTGTTGTCAGCTGCACGCTAATATGTACTTGCAAATATCTGATCCCAGCAATATCAAGGAAAAAGAAATAAAATTATGTCACCTAAGGTAATCTTTAGTCACAGGAGAAGCCATGGGACACACAGGCTACATTCCCAACCAGCCCCAGTGCATGGTGCAGCCTCGGCAAGCTGATGTGCCACCGCAGTCAAACTCAGATGAAGGGAGACTCGAGGGAAAGCAAGAAATGTCTCTGAGTGGACATGA